CAATAGAAATATAAATATTATTGTTGAAATTCGAAAGTCTCTTGACAATCAGGAAATAACAACACAAAACATAAAAAGACACCCTAGTGCGATGGTGAAGGTGGAAAATGGTGGCTGGACAGCAGGTCGAGGGGTTGGTTGGGGTTGCATGCACAGCTGGAGGCCCTGGAATGGTGTGGCTGCAAGACTAGGTGACAGGGATGAGAGGCTGCAGCAGCAGAACAGCAGGGAAGAGGGTGGGGCAGCGGACTAGGAGGCTGAAGGACTTGTAGCAGCAGACTAGAAGGGAGGGGATGCCTTGCCGCAGCATGTGTGGGTGTTGTAGGAGGGGCGGTGGCAGCAGGAAGTAAGGAAAAGGGATGGATGCAAGGAAACGGGGGAAGGGGAACTGCGAAGGGGAGTTGGGGAAGATAAGTATCCCTGTGGAATGAAGTTACAGCCAGAGCACCCCTCGAACCATTGGAGATCACCATATCGGGCAACTTACAGCTTGAGCACCTCCTCGCCTTCGATTACAGCCCTAGAAGAGAAAACAACCACGACAGTTGGCTTCGACAGAAATCTGAAATTAATCAAAAGCTAACTCTAGCAAGCAAAACAACTATATAATAGCTACGAGATAAAATAGAAAGGGGGGCTTCCCATCTGAACGGCAACCAGAAAAGGAAGGGGGAAGAAGCAGCAGGCAAAAAGGCGTGGAAGGCATTTGGCAGTACTTTCCACCCCCTAGGTATAGGAAACGGGCCGGTCCAGTCTCCCACTGGACCAGGACCCACTTGAACCAATTGGTCGGTTCAGTCAGGCACCCAAGTCCTACGTCAGTTTTCAAAGCAAATGTTTGGAGGCCATGGTATAATAAAAACCTTTGGTAAATTCCCTCCTCCCAATTTATAATGGTCCTTAGATTGGCTTAAATTTTCATCTATGATGAACTGAGCTACATCATGATTTCCTATTGTTTCATGTTTTAAATATATATTTTATAGAATGATAAAGGCACAGGGTAAAACAATTTAATTCATGCTCATATTTTTTATATCATACTTCAGTTCTCATGTGTTTTATGATTATAGTATGACTACACATGCTTAAAACAAAATAAATTTATAATTTGAGAACAAGATAAACATTTAAAGGCCAAGTGAATTACTTAAAAAGTAATCAGGACATTGTACCAAGATTGGTAAAGATGACAATAAATGATATATAATTATCAACAAATTAATTAGAAGCATGATAGTTTAATCTTAAGCAATAAACATTTTAATTGGCATCTCTCTTTTATCTATACTTTGACTACAGCTTGTTCCCAAGTTCACTAGAATTTAGTCATCATGATACCCTAATATATATATATTTTTTTAAATTAAAAAATTACTGCTTGGCATCATGATCTTTTGAATGAGTAGTTTAAGAGAGGTTTATTTTCAAGTAAAATATTTTTTTACCAATCCCCTTGGTATATGTGTTATTTGACATAGATATCTCTCCTCAAAAACTATATTATAATAAAAAATTTGCTTTTATATCCAAAAAATTGTTTAACTAGCAGCTAGTATATGCATTAATGCCCAGTAGTAAGGGTTTGCATATATTTTGCTATTTTATTTTCAATATCATCAAGCTATTGAAGCAACTTTTTATTTCGTCAAAAGGTGGGAGATTGTTGATGAATTTTGTGCATATTAGATTTTAAGAGAAGATTTAGTGTTTTTGTAGATGCATGATCTTTAAGGAAAAAGCATTCACATGCTTTTTTATGTTTTTATAGAAGGATAATGTAAGGAATCTTGCCCTATTCTTATGCTTCCATCCACCTCATGTTGTATCCATTGTAAGGCAGTAAGATAGTAGGATAAGGGTCAACATTATACTATGTTAAGCCAACATGTGGTGAGTTCTGATCCACGTCCATGTAAGCCATCTACCACCAAGGTCATATGAGTATCATAGGATATGTCTAACTGATTAGGCTCTTTCGAGCTACATTGACGTATGACATATTTCTTCACAATGAGGTATCCTTTTCTTGGATGTGAAACAATTGAATCTAATCAACTACGAAGCTTGAAGGAAATGATGGAACTTCAATTCTCTCCACTTTCTTATTCTAAGTTGAGTTGTATGGAATGACGATCTTCGGCATGGCCATCACAGGAATCCACATCTGACATTGGGACAAGGAAATATTAGGAAAATGATAAACCTACTACTCATTTAAAAATTAAGGTTCCTCCACCTATTTATACAGTAGATTAAGATAAACTATGTCCTTATTTTGTAGGTTCTAACTTTTCACTTGATAAAGCATGTTTTAAAAGGACTCATATGTAGATCTAAACCCAAGCATGCATCAATGATACGAACTAAATGTAAATTGTGATTTCTTACCAAGTAATTCAATATCTCACAAACTTGCAGATTATCTGGATCACTAGGGTTGTG